GGGATTCGGACCATCACGGTGCCCCGAACAGTATCCTGGAGCTTCTATACGAGCAGACCTAATATACATGTGTATGCTGGGCTTACGAAGAGTACAGTCTACATATATTACACAGAGCCCGAGCTTGAAAATAACAGTCGTACCACCCGAGTCACATAGACCGGTATCAGGCCTAGCTTAGGAGAGCAAAACACCATTTTCCCCAAGCTTCGAGCAGATCCCCGATAGTCTCATCGAACAATGACGACATCCAACCAGATGAGCTCTCGCTTTTTAGCGACGTAGCCCAGGGAAGCCTTTGCATAGACTTTTCTTTCCATATGGTCCTGAATGAGGTAGCGTTTGTAGTCGAGGTAGTTGTAGAAGGTGGCCTCCCTGGGCTTGAACATGAGGGTTAGGGCTGGGGTTAAAGCTTATTAATTTGCGAACATATGATGAAGCACAGCTGCTCTGTTTGATCTTGGTATTCTCGTGCCCACATAACACAGAGATAGCGAGCCATCCTTTCTGATGCCCCGTGTTTCATGAGCTTTTGCATGACCTGGTCAATGTCCATGATCGACACAGAGCGAGAGAGAGACTATTTTTAAAGTGCTCGAACCAAAACGTACTGCAACAGTCCGGGCCAAGTCGATAGCTAGGGAACAAAAGCATGAGCCAGCTTTGGCGGTGCACTTCTGGTAAAGGGTCGTGGTTCTGAGCAGAGCTTGACTTAGGCAGTAGACTATTTATTGTTCCTAGACCCTAGCACCCACCTCCTATAGGGTAGGACATATCGGCTCCGAAAGATTTAAGCCTAAAGGCCTGAAGCTTATATCGTGATGAGCTGGCATCAAGAATTACGGGCCCATGTTAGTTTATGGCTGTGGGGTTAAGGACCAAAGCTTTGTGCATTTCGCCAATGGTATTGGCACTTTGGCCAGGTCTTGCCCCGAATCTTCGATCCTGTGAACGGTTTACAATAGTTGAGGGTGACGACCCTAGAAAAGCAATAATGTACATCAGCCCAGATCCAACGGTGGATAGGTTAGGGTTTAGGGTTTGGGGGTTTAGGGTTTGGGGGTTTATTTCGGGGTTTAGGGTTGGGGGGTTTAGGGTTGGGGGGTTGAGGGTTTGGGGGTTCAAGGTTTGGGGGTTTAGGGTTCGGGTGTTTAGGGTTCGGGGGTTTCGGGTTTGGGGGCTAGGGTTTGGGGGTTTAGGGTTTGGGGGTTTAGGGTTTGGGGGTTTAGGGTTTGGGGGTTTCGGGTTTGGGGGTTTAGGGCTTCGGGCTGAAACGTCGCTCTCTATAGCTAGCATACTCGAGGCCGGTGCTTGATTAGATTCGTCGTTGTCTAGCTAGTAGTTTTGCAGAAATTCACAACTCGGGCTGCACCCCTACAGTGGAAAGAAGCCTTCAGAGATTTGCTGCCCGAGGCCCTGGATCTACCGTCTCAGTCGTCTCATCATCGGAGGCCAGGGTCCGGGTCCTGTCCAGTTGGTCTTAAGAAGCCGGTCATCGATACTACGTACATTCTAGCTCGTGCCAATGACACAAAAGGGTCCTCCCAAGCCCAAGCCGATATTTGCGAAACAGGTTTGCCGTGGGATGCGAGAATCATGGGTCTGAGCACTCGGCAAATGCATGTGTGAAGCACAGACGACAGTACTGCTGCGTGACCCCATTTCCACCAAGTGTCTTTTCGGATATCATCAGAATCATGTTTGTCCTCTCGATCAGAAGAGCCGAAGCCTTGGTCTGTGTCTGCATGCCAACAGCTAGTATGCTACTCCCAGCTATCTATTGAACCATATGATGTACATATCCTAGGTTCCGTATTTCATATCAAACTACCGAAGCCCCAATGTACTTCACATGCACGAGGTCGTTTGGTGACAACTCCACAGAGGCCCACGTGTGATTTCTAGCGGTGTGCCCTGATGAACCTGAGTTTTGTAAGGTTATTGGGTATTATCAATAATGCACATAGAATCGAGTGATGTTTCAAAGCCATGAAGTCCGGTTATGTTCAGAACTAAGCCCACAATGCCCCACACCCTGTATCTAGGATTTTATCTAGGGATCACTAGCAGGTGAGCCTTAGTTCTGTTGCACATACAGCTTAAGTCTTCACACTTCTCTCCTAGTCTCTACATCACCACGCAGTCGAATCGAAAGTGCGGGGCTGGGATTAACAGGTGTTATGGTTCTCAAGATTCGGAGTAGCCGGGCCCACTAATGCAGTCTAGTGACTTTGTTGAAGCATCAGGATCGTAGCAGGCAATAACACCGGGCCAAGCCAAACCTGCTGCACCACAGGCGTATCATTCCAGCGTGCAGGGGCTTTGGGTTTCGGGGGTGGGTTTAGGGGCTCAAGTCTTTAAGGGTTTGAAGTTTAAGGGTTTTAGGGTTTAGGGTCGGGGATTTAAGGTCGCATGAGTGTTAAGATTTTGGGCTCATTAGGTATCGGGTCAACTACGACCTCGGATGACACAGATATATTTGGGCACTCTAGGAATCCTAGATTGCAGTCGAGTTTCGGGAAGCTCCCCGACACAGTAGATGCACATTCCAGGTCCGGGCAGTGCAAATGGATCCAAGGCATTGCGAAGGCCTCCTCGGGTTTCTTGCAGTTCTGCAGAAGTATCCCTTTACTTGATCTGGCCAAGGGTCTGCCAGATGTATAGCGAGGCCCAACCAACTCGAAATCGACGGCGTGATTGCGATGTTCCATAGCCTAAGCGTGGGAGCAATAAAGTCTAATTAAACCCAGCGAATCATATTATCGACGAGCAGCAGTGCACGAGGATCAAAATTTCTTGGGATATCGTAGCCATGCACCTGAGATGTGACAGGCAGAAGATGCAGCGGACACATATTGTGTGAAGGGTCAAGGCATATTATCATCAGACAAGGCACAGCAACGGCAAAAGCGGGAGGAGGTCGCCATATTCAAGCACAGGCCGTAATGTTCGAAGCAACACATTTTAGAAATATTACGGGAATTGCAGAAGTAGTGGCCGAGAACAGCTAGCAGCTACCCATCAGCCATCTCACATGAGGTTTGATCTATAGAGCCACACGTGACTGAGGCCTTTCCCGGAGTTCACAATGCAACTGCCTTCAGAGCAATCGGTACAAAGCACAGAGCATTCTAAAGGCGTGAGAACCTAACAGATCTGCATGCACTGCTGGGGGTGGGCGAACCTGTGCAGGCTTCATTCGGCCGCTTGCGTGAAGAGCTCGCTGATCTTGCAGTAGCACCTGGCATCCACGGCAAAAAGAATCGAGACCTTTGCAACAGCTGCTTCGAACGAAGAGGCAGTCTCGGTAGATCTTTTTTTCTCTGAGCCCGGGCAATGCTTTCGGACGGGTCGCACCATTGACCTGAGACATAGCCTAGTAGACTTAAGGTTTAGGGTTTAGATTGACTTAAGGTTTAGGGTTCGAGTGCAGGTATGACATGTGAAAGTCGCGAACCCATGTGCTGGC